CTTTCTGGCCGTTTTGACTCCCAATACTTCCTCCACTACTACTGATGTGGATGATTCTGCCAATATTGACCTTACCCTCCGCCTGTGAAGCGCTTTAAACTGAATGGTGATGAACATGAATGTGGGTTTTATTAATCAAATGGGTTTTTGACTTTGATGATGAGAGTAAGTTGGCGTTAATTCCCTAATTCTAATTCTCCCCCAGCTTAATGTATGCATGGATCACCATGAGATGTATATATGGATCACCATGTCTATAATTAAAAAACAGTGTTTGTGTTGATATTTGGACTGGGGAGAGATCTTTTGTGTTTGATTAATATCTCTGTAATATTTTATGGGTACGTAGGAGTATAAAAAAAAAAATGTATGTATGGATATCTATATGGGTAACGTAGTATATATTTCTGTATTTCGATCAGCATTAATTAATTAGAGATTAATTTCATGGGATGCTTAATTAGTAAATATATTTTTTTGCTTTTCAAAAAAAAAGTAAATATTTTTTTATTATTAATTTTGAAAAACATGAGAAAAGGAAAATATATATGGACCTTATAATTTGCCCCATCAACTGAAACAAGTAAATAAAATCTATACTTACGGTGGGGGGAAGACAGAGGGTATAAGGGTATAACCTAATTATAGACATAGTATGGTAATGTTGTCCTGTAATTATAATTGTAGATTTTTTATATTTTAGTATTTTAAAAATATATTTAATATTTATTTTAATTAATATTTTATGTATTTTTAAAATAATAAAATTATATAAAAATTAAAATATCAAGAAGTGTTTTCAAACTGAGTTAAAAGTTGACACTGTTTTTATTAAAATGACAAATGAACACATTTGAACTTGTATTAAGAAAATAATAAACTATAATTAAGGGATTTAACTAATAATTAAAATATTAATACACTCACCAATTTAACATAGAATATGTTAAATTAAATGATATATTAATTATTATCCAATTAATAATTAAGGCTTCAATCATCTTTTTCCAGTAGTGTCGAATTGCTTTGGGTTCTACCTCTCTGTGCATAAAAGCGGCCTTTGGCTGTAGAGGGGGGAGGGGAAGAAAGTTTAAAAAATCGAGAGTTCCGTGAGATAAAATTAAAATAGAGGCACAGAGAGGCTGAAAGGCAAAAGCTTTGTAATTGAACTTTGAGATTTTCGAAATAAATTTGACATTCATCCATTTCTAGATACTCTCTCTTTGACTTTCTTTCTAGGGTTATGATAATTGTGAAAAGGACAAATCTCAACCTGTAAAGTCTACAGCAGAAGAATTGGCAAATGATAACCCACTAACAGAAAAATCAACAGCCGAGCCAATGAAGCATCCATCACCCCTCCGGTACGATCATCCGAACGACAGCAACAAGGAAGGATAACAATGGTTCTCAATGCCAATTACAGGAGAAGAATAAACAAGTCATTGTAAACAATTCTAAGGATGTACCAGTCGGTGCAAGAGGCAATGATTCATAAAGGTGGATCCTTGGATATGGATAAGTCAATTCAAACAGCAATCCATATTGTCCAGTCTACCACTTCTTGACATCGTTACAGGAAAAGCTTTTAACCGTAAAGGCAATTCAACAACTCGTTTTTGTCATGTTTTGGCTATAATAAAGGACGATGACGTGCTAAACTTTCACCTCATGGTCCAACATCAAGGGCCAATACCCACTAGAGGGACAACAGCTGGCTTGCTCTAACCCAAGCGGTTTTAGTATATGTTAAAAAAAAAAGGAAAAAAAAAAGGAAGAGAGGGTAGAGAAAAGGTAAGGGCGGAAAGATACCCTGCTGGGAGGTGAGGAGAGCAAATCGATCAGATATATAAAGCAATTGTTCTCTGATAGCATTCCAGAGCCTTGTAACTCAGTATTGGCCCTTGATAAAGATGACATTGCACAGTTTGTTCTTCAACGAATGAAATCCCTAAGTCACAAAACAAAAATGTTTTTTACAAATAAATTAAGTACAGTATAGATTATAAGTTTATTAAAATAACTTTAATAAAATTATTTTTATTTTATTTTATTTAAAATATTTTAAAATATTTATAAAATAAATTATATTTTTAATATACAATCT